CCTCTGAGTGCGGCCCCTGGGGGGACAGCTGAGTGATGAGGCCTGAGTCACATGCCCTGTATGCTCCTTGAACTCCCGCTCCCCTGCCTGTCAGAACACATCCAGAAATGCACAGGGTAAATATTTAGAGGTAATTTTTTTGTGTATTTTTTTTTTTTTTTTTTTTTTTTTTTTTTTTTTTTCATGTGTGTGGTACCTCACACCTCCTCCTTACTGAGGATGAGCCAGGCCTGGGATTCGAGGGAGAGGAATTCAAGTACAATCAGAATTGTAGCCTGGGCCTCTCTGAGCATTGCTTTAGCGGGGCATCATGAGGTTGAACCCAGGATGACCAAGGAGCCCTCTTAATTCCATGGGCCCCTGTCTTTACTGTGACCGGTGTGCCAGCTGCAGCCTCTGCTAAGCCCATTCTAGCCCCACAGGCTTGTAGATGGCCCCTCTATTTCCACAGGATACTGGGGAGGGAATACAGACAAGAGCAGCCCATGTCGTCACGCCAGTTTTCTTGGCTTTGCCCTGCATGGAATGTCTTCCTTCCTTGGAAGACATAGAGTCAGAGCCCAAGCTTTATCAAAGATAAAACATTTGAGACTAAACAGTCTTTTTATAGACTAGAGCTGGGCTCTCTCTGCACATGTTCTCCACCATCCCCAGCCTTCCTCTCTGAGCATGCATGGGAAGAAAACATGTTTCTGGGTGCATGGAGGCTGGGAAGTCTGAGGGTGAATTGTCCTTCCGGGAAAAGGCAGAAGCTACACGAGGACCTATGCTGCTTGGTGATGTGGTCTGCCTCTGCAGCTGGAGGGAGCCGTACACAGAGGCAAGAATTAGCTGGTAGGAGTTTGAGACAGGATGGAACCTAAATGTGTCAGGCATGTGTCTGTAACCTCAGACATGACTGCTCACTCAGGCACAAACAGAAGAAAATGTTGAAATCGGGCAGTACCCACAAATCAAGCCATCGGCTCTCCACTTACAAATCTGTAGAGCTGAGATTCTTGCATATAAGACACCAAGAGGAAGGTGGAAGGAAGAAGGCAAATAGTTATTAAGTATGTACTATTTACCAGGCAGTCTGTAAACATTAGCTCACTTAATCCTCACAAAGACCTATTAATCTTTTTTTTTTTTTATGAATGAGGAAATAGATAGTCATAGTGGTCAAGATGGGTAACTAAAGGAGAATTTGATTTGGGGGCTTTCTGACTCTACTCAATCCTCTTTTATTTGTTTTTTGAATTTTAAATTTTAAAATTTTGTGTGCATTGGAGTAGGGGAGTATCTGGGGATCATAGAACTAAGTTTGGGAGTTGGTTCTCTCCTTTCACTATATGGGTTCCAGGGAATGAACCTAGGTTATCAGCCTTGGCAGCAGGTCTTCTTACTCATGGAGACACATAGTTGGCCCCTTTTCATTTTCCTGAATGTAAAATAGCAGCTCTCCTGGGATTATGATAAGGATTAAATGGGATTATTTGTATAAAAGCTAGTCAGTGCCTGGTAGTAAGGTGGGTCTTCAGTAATGTTGATGTAATTACAGTGATGGTTTTGTGTGTGGGGCATCTTAGGAAATAGTAACACGAGTTCTTTAGGATAATATAGGCGGTTTAGGATGATCTAGATGGTGAATGCACAGAGACCTGCTCTGCATATCTAGCTACTCCTGTACCTGGGCATCTTCTGGGAAGTGCCAAGAGATCAAGAAAGGCAGAGGTCTAGAGAAGTAGAGCCAAGAGGAAGGAGGCTGGCAGAGACCTAACAGGCAGTGAAGCCCAGCACTACTGAGCAGGACAACGCATGCGGCTGGGGGAAGAACCCAGGTCCAGGAATATTACACTCTGCAGCTTGGGTAGCAACCCTGAGTCTCAGAGTGAAGACTATGTTTACACTAGGAACTCTGCCTTCCTGATCTGAGATTCTGTGCTTCTTTTTTACCCCTCCTGTCTCCTCTCTTAACAAGGAGGTGGGTTTACTGGCTAACCATAACTAGTCCCAGAAGAACCTGCCAAAGAAAGCATGGAAATCGGAGGGGACAGTGAGATGAGTCCAGAAAGTGACCCCATTTTTTTCTTGCTCCTAGAGTTGCATGTGGCTGCCGTTGTCAGGCAGCCTGTGGGGCCAGGATGGCATCGTAGGAAGGTGGAGGAACAGTGGGAAGCCCTGGGGTCCCCCAAACAGGGCTGGAGCTGAGCATCACAGCTGGTTGGGGCAGGTACTCACAGCCTCCTTTTCACCTTTTCCCCACGCAGAGACCTCAGTATGAACAACCTCACAGAGCTTCAGCCGGGTCTTTTCCGCCACCTGCGCTTCTTGGAGGAGCTGTGAGTTGATGGGTGGGTGGGAGTGGGGGTGTGGGCAGGGTGGAGGGTGGGTGGACAGAACTCACTGATCAACAGTTGTAAGGATCAGGGCTCTCCAGAGCAAGGTGGAGCTCAAGGGAGAAAGGAGAAAGTGGGGCTTGGGAAACAGCTATTTAGTTGAGACGGGATACACGGGTGACTCCCAGAGTACCTATGTCAAGCCATGTGGCACCAGAGGTCTGAGCCAAAGTTTCCTGCAGCTCTTTCTCCTGCCCTAATTCTCCCCTCCCGCATAACAGTTTCACCATGTAGCTCAAGGTGGCCTGAAATTCACTATTGGAGTTCAAACTGGTCATGAACTTACCATTCTCCTGCCTAAGCTCCTGAGGGCTGGGATTTCAGGCATGAGTCACCATACCCAGCGTAGCTTTCCCTCTTTAAATTTTTTTTTCAATTTTATGTGTATGAGTACCACATGCATGCCTGTTGCCCCAGGAGACAGAAGAGGGCATCAGATTCCCTGAAACTGAAGTTACAGATGGTTGTGAGTGCTACCATGTGGGTGCTAGGAATTGAACCTAGATCCTTTGGAAGACCAGGCAGTATTCTTAAGCACTGAGCCACCTCTCTAGGCCCTGGCTTTCACTAGGTATCCCACCTTTCCCTGGATATCACCCTTGAACTGCCATCACCCCTAATACCAAGGCTGTCTGCCACAGGAGGGAATGTTTCGTGTGGATGGGGCTAGCAGTGGGCAGGCAAGTCAGTTTTTAAAGGTGGCAGAGGTCACCCTGAGGGTGTGGCACAGCTTGGTTGGGAGTGCATAGGAGAGCCAAGGATGAGGCATTTATTTGGTAAAGCCAACTTTCTATCTCCCACTCTGAGAAGGGGCTGGACCAGAGTTAAAGGCCCTATCTAAAGGGTCAATCTACCACGTAGGCCCATTTACAGAACCCAAGTGTGGAGACCCAAGTGTTAACTTTTTTAAAATTAAAAATATGATTTGTTAATTATGCATACAGTGTTCTGCCTGCATGTATGCCTGTAGGCCTAAAGAGGGAACCAGATCTCATTACAGATGGCTGTGAGCCACCATGTGGTTGCTGGGAATTGAACTCAGGACCTTTGGAAGAACAGCCAGTGTTCTTAACCTCTGAGCCATCTCTTCAGCCCCAAGTGTCACCGTTTAAAGCAACAAATGTGAAATAAAGAGACTAGAGACAGAGTTCCCCCAAATGGTGGAGACTAACCAGGGCCTCGGGCATACTGGCTCTGTCACTGAACTGTATCCTCATTGTGGAATAACAATTTTAAACATGAGCGTCTAAACTGGGCATGGTGGCACATGCCTCCAGCTCTAGGGGAGGGGAGATAACAGAATTGTGAGTGCTCAGTTATCCTGGACTACCTAGTAAGGTTCTGTCTAAAAACAACAACAAAAACCCAAACAACCACACACACATACACACACACACACACACACACACACACACACACAAACCAAGCCACAGTCTCCTTATCTGAAATTTGGGGGAGGGGAGTTAAATACAGGTTGAGCATTCTCAATCCAAAATGTGAAATCTGGAACTTTTTTGAGACAGGATCTCAGTATGTAACCCAGGCTAGACTAGAATCCTCTATGTAGCCAAGGCTGGCTTTGAACTCATAATCTTCTTGCCTTAGGCTTCCAAGTACTTGGATTACAGGTGTGTACTATCACACCTAAATTTGAAATTTGAAATTTGAAACTCTTTGTGTACTGATAGGTCACCACAGTGGGCAGTTCTGTACCTGACTTCATGTGACAAGTTTGAATCAAAGCACAGACCACTGAAATTTATGGTAGGAGTAAAGGATTGTAGTGTTGGAGTAATAACTCAGCATGTTTGAGGTACTGGCCTCTATCTTCAGCACCCTGCCCCACCCAAACAAGACATCATTGCATAAAACTACCTTCAGGCCCCATGTTTATCAAATAATCAAATTTTGGTTTAGTTGGTGAGATGCTTGGAGAATAAAGGCAATCACCACCAAGCCAGACAACCTAAGTTTAGTCCCCAAATACCACATGGTGGACAGAGAGAACATTGGGTTGTCATTTGACAAGCATATGTGAGTCATGGCACATACCTACCCACATATATACACACACCAAATAAATAAACCTGAAATCAAATAAAATCAACTGAATTTATGCATAAACTTGGACCCATACCCTAGACAGCTCATTATCTAGATGCAAATATTTGGAAATCGGAAAGAATCTCAACGACAAACACCCCTGGCTCTGAGCATTTCAAATACGGGATACTCACTGTATCCTGCACCTCCCAGGATTAACTGTGAAACTGGAGCTGATGTCTGTGTGGTTTACAGTGAACCAAAGAGCTCAGTAAATGGCATGCATTGCCACCATCCTCCCCCCTGAACACCAAGACAGCAACTCACCCCCTACATGGGTTACCTGGCAACACCGTTGACCTCTGTCTTTGATTCCAGGCGGCTCTCTGGGAACCATCTCTCACATATCCCGGGACAGGCATTCTCCGGCCTCCACAGCCTGAAAATTCTGTAAGTAGAGGTTAAGACTTTTCACATCATTACATAGCCCTGAGAATGGTGGCCAGAGGGGTTTTGTCACTCCTTGAGTCTGACTTTTCTCCTTGATTCCTTGTCTCCACTTTTAATTTCACTCATTATTTCCATTTCTTTGCTTTTCCCTCATCTGATTTGTAAACAAAGATTAAGAGGAGCCCAAAGTGCCTGGCAGCCCTTCAGGGAGGAGGCGACTTTGTTTATGAATGATGATCACTGCAGGGCTCAGTTGAGGTTTATTTTATTTCTTACATTTATCATTTATTTATCTGTGAGTGTAGCATGAGTGTGGAGGCCAGAGGACAACTTTGGAGCTGGGTCCTGAGATAGAACTCAGATCATCAGTCCTGGCAGCACGTGCTTTTACTCACTGAGCTACCTCTCTGGTCCTTTGTTTTAACTTTTGAGGGCTGGGGATACAGTTCAGTTGGTAGAGTGTTTTCTGAACATCCCTGAGGCCCTGGGGTTAGGTCCCCAGCACAGTAGGAACCCGGTATGATGCATGCCTGCAATCCCAGAACTCAGAATGAGCAAGAAGCCCAGAGGATCAGACCGCTTCGTCCATGAGGTGCTGCCATATAAGCGTGCAGATCTGAGTTGAATCTCCAGAACCCACTTAAAAAGCCAGGAGTGATGGTTTGTGCTTATAAATCCCAGCATTTAGGTGACCCCCCACCCCCACCCCGCTCCCTCAGTTGCTAGCCAGCCTAGCCTCACTGGCAAACACCAGATCCCAGTGAGAGACTTTGTCTCAAACAAACAAACAAACACAAAAAATAAAAAAAGAAAGAAAAAGAAAAAAAGCTTGGTGGTTGGTTTCCAAAGAATGACATCTGGGCTGACTTCTGTGTGCACACGAAGTCACACGCGTGTGTCTGTACAACCGGTGACTTCACAACCGTGGACAGCTTTGAACAGGCAAACTCACATACACAAAAGTTCAAGGTCATTCTCAGATACATAGTTTGAAAACTTTTTTCTTTGTTTGTTTAGTTTTTCAAGACAGGGTTTCTCTGTGTAGCTTTGGAGCCCATCCTGGAACTCTCTCTGTAGACCAGGCTGGCCTCGAACTCACAGAGATCCGCCTGCCTCTGCCTCCCAAGTGATTAAAGGTGTGCACCACCACTGACCGGTGGGTCTTTGGATTTTTGAGACAGGATCTTTCTATGTAGACCTGACTGACCTGCAACTCAGCAACTTGATATGTAGACCAGGATGCCCTCAAATTTGTAGTGATTCCCTTTGCCTCTGCCTCCTGAGAGTTAGGCTTATAAGTCTTTTTAAAGATTTATTTATTTTATGCAAATGAATGTTTGATCTGTGTGCACAGCTTTACACCAGAAGAGGGAATCAGATCCCATGTGAGTCACCATGCAGGTGCTGGGAATTGAACTCAGGACCTCTGGAAGAGCAGCCACTGCTCTTAACCTCTGAGCTATCTCTCCAGCACCCTGTTCCTTTCTTTTTTGAGAGAAGGTTTTGCTTAGTTCAGGATAGCCCTTCCTGTCTGAGACTGAAGTACTGGGATTACAGCTTCCATCTTTTTGCTTAGTGTCTGTGCCTCCAACTCTAAACTCTCATGATCACTGTGAAGGAATCTCCTTCAGATCAGGCTGCCTCCTCCAGCCCCTTTGTACCTTCTCACGAGCAAAAGGAGTGAGAAGCTGGGAGATGATCTGGCATTCTCTCACTTACCTCTTCTTATTAGTGAGCTGTCAGCCCATTGTAGAGAAGGGAAGGCTGAGGCACTATCTCTTCCCACCCTAATCCATGATGCACGTTGGCCTAGCTAAGTCGATTTTTCCAAGAGGGGTAAAGGTGGGAGGAGATGGGAAGAAATGGATACAGAGCTGAAGGCAGGTGGAGATCCCAGAGAGGGCACAGCATTCCAGGAACCAGTGAGGGGCTGGTCCTAAAGCACCCAAGGCTTTCCTGTTTCCAGCACTGTTTCCAGGTCTGCTGTTTGGCCCTGACTCTACCTGTGGCTCTTCTTTGTATAGTTGTGCAGGTTGTCTGCAGCACAAGAGCGTCTGGCAGAGGGGAAAGGGTCTGAGCTCCAGTTCTGTGCTCACGTTTGGAATGGTACCCACCCAAAGGGAGATGTCTTTCTTGTTTTCTCAAAGTGGCTCATGGGCTGACAGTGGTCCTTCCTCTGGAGCCCCTGCTTCCAGAAGGTCATCAGTTTGAGCATTTTCCTTTCTGTGTTTGGTATTCTCAGCTCTCTCCATCTGCCACTCCAGGGCTCAGAGGCTTCTGCCTTACTGCCTTCCCCAATATCCTTGGTCCCCTGCTCTCTGTTCTGTCTGCCTCTCTGTTACCAGCTTCTCAGTTCTTCCAGCCTCCCTGTCTCCCTGAAGCTGCCTGGGTGCAGAGGGGAGTGGGGGAGGAGGCATCTCGAACCCACTGCAGCACAGTGCAGGCGGCCTGCTTGGTGGCATATCTGTGCCCAGTGGCAGGTTCAGACCTGCAGCGGATTAGAGAGCGGGGTTCTGTTTGCTGGGTCTTCAGAAGATACGAGAGAGCGAGGCTCACGTCCCGTTCCTAAGGCTCCGGCTTTAGAGATGAGCTTTCTCTTTCTTCTCTGCCTACATTAGGCAATAAATCAAAGCCTGGGAGAAACTACAGCCCGCCCGCCCCCTTTCAACCAGTGGCGCCTGGGCCCAGTGAGCAGGTTGGCCATAAGCTGTGGGTGGGAGCCAGGACAGCCAGGCTGCTCACCCCCACTCTGCCAGTGACCCCCATTTTGCTCCATCTCTGAAACCACCAATCACTAAAGCCTTGTGTCTACAGAGTTCCCTTTTCAGGCAGTTGGGGGCCCTATTCTCCCCCAGAGCTTCAGAGCAGGAGAGTCCATATGTGTCCTGGGTGCAAAGTCCTTTCCGACATCCAATGTCACTGTCACGGGTTGCAGGTCTTTGTCTCTCAGACCTACAAGAAAACTAGAGCAGTAGAGCCCACCCCCACCCTCAGCCTCGCTTCTCTCCGTACAAGGAGACTGTAGCTATCTATCCACCTTCAGTCTCTTCTGAAGGTTGTGGCTTCTTCTCTGAGGCATGGCCGGGCCGAGAGGAAAGGGGAGACAGTGAACAGGATAACACGATGCAGGCTCTGCCTTCTTTTTGTCCTGGAAGTGAACAGTGAACAGTAAGGGATCTCTCTCCCTTCTTAAGGGTGACCTCCTGACACTGGCCTTGGCTCTCCTCTCCTCTGTGGGTTTTCCAAGTTCTGAAGCTTTCAGCTTCGAGCAGGTCTGATCAAGAGAGTTAGGTCTTGCATGAAGGTCTAACCTTGCACCAGTCTACCTCACGAGACTTCGAGGGCCCAGATGCTAAATTCACACTCCTACTGCCCCAGACAGGGACCTCTGACTGTTCTGCCCATTATGCTTTTGCAGGACACAAAGGAGCTTCGAGCAGAGCTCCTGGATCCTGGCCCCAGCCCAAGGGTGTGTGTATATGTTGGGTTTCCCCACACTAACTTCCCTCAAAAGATGTCATCTTAGAAAACAAGTGTGGTCTAGCCTTGGCCCTTCCCATCCTCTGCAGACCTCCCAGAACCACCAGCAACCACCCTGGTTCAGGTCGATGTGGCCCCATCTAGAACAACAGTGCTGACCACGCCTCAGCTGCCTCATACCAGGGCCAGATTTGAGTAACAGGGGTGGAGGGAGGGAGGTTCAGAGACTTGTCTCTGCTTTCCGCCTTTAGGAACCTGGACAGGAGGTTTTCCCAGGAGAGAGCCCAGAGCCCAGAGTTTATGATTGAGGGTTCCTAGCCAGTGTCCTCTTAGTAAAGACTAAAGTTCTAGAAGTTGTTCTCTGCTTCCGATCTTAGCCCATCCATCTAAAGCCTGGCTGGAGGCAGACTGGAGAACAGAGGAGTTAGATCTCAGGCCCAGACCAAGGAAACCTAGTGCAGCATCAATTTTAGCCCTTTGCTCACTGTGTGGACTATCTCAGGTGGGCACTGACTGCTTCCTCTCCCTCTGGACTTGAACTGAATGAAACTGACCTGGGAGGGACTCATGTTGCTTGGAAGCATTGAGCTCTCCAGCCTGGCTTTGGAGAAGGTACGAGGAACCCAGGGAGATCCCCTCAGCTGTTCTTCAGCAAGAGGCCAAGCCCCATCCCTGCAAGGGACTGGATGGCAGGAAGAGGGGCTCTTTGGCCCCAGAGACTTGAGGGCAGAATTAAGGCCTCACCAGAAGTGGGCAGTGGGGAAGATGTCTAGATTTCTACTCTCTAAGACTTAAGTTTTTTTTCCTTTTATAATGAGGGAGTTGGAATGAATTCCTCAGTAATTTTAGTTGCAGAATCGAAACCCAAACGGCAAACATTGGTCAGTGGTAAGGTTGTATACCTGTATCCAGCCCTGAGGAGGCTGAGATACAGAATCCTTGAGTTCAAAGCCTCAAAAGACCAAGACTTGGGGCTAGAGAGATGGTTCAGAGGTTAAGAGCACTGGCTGCTCTTGCAGAGGACCAAGGCTCAGTTTCTAGCACTCACACGGTAACTCACAACCACCTTTAACTCCAGTTTCAGCAATTCCAGCATCCTCTCTTGGTCTCCTCCAATACTAGGCATGTACATTGTGCTCATACATATACACAGGCAAAACTCTTATACATTAAAAGTATTCAGTAACAGAGTACTTCTCTAGCATGCCAAGGCCCTGGGTTCAATCCCTGTCTGGGGAAAAACAAAACAAAAACTCACTTTATAAAGAAACGTGAATGCATAAAACTGATGAAGGAGGACCTTTTCTACAGGGTGCAGAGGGTGGGTGAGCTCCAGGCTCTGCCTCACTCATCTGCATAAGAAACCCAATGGCACCAGATTCATAGGAAGAGTCTTTCGGAGCACACTGGGTGGAGGTTGATTCTCTGCTACTTGCTCCCTGGGTCTCTGAAGTTCCTGGTTTCTGTTTCCAGATGCTTCTCTGGCAAGAGAGAGATTCTGAGCATGCTCTTCGTACATA